AACAAAAATTTTATCTATTAATGTTTGTTTTAGCAGAAGTCTCAGACACTTCAGCTTTGAATGAAAAGTGGACTTATATGTAACCCTACAAACACACTACATGATTTATCCAAGGTGAAATAATATTGTACAAAATTCTGTGGGAATTTCTCCAATCAGAGTTTAAATTTTCCCTTTGAGAGGGATAGTTGACAGAAATTTTCCAACGTGTTGCATTTTAGCTTTACTGTTATGATTTTTGGACATTGATTTTATAGTTACTAAAATTATTTGTTAACAATTTGGATGTTTTCTGTAAGGCAGGTATTATTATATTGTTCTTTAATACTATGCATTTCAATGACATTTCTCATTTTTCCACCTAGCCTATCCTTACTTTCAGCCATTCAAGAATGGTAATGAAGTACTCAATTCCTAGCCTAATATAAGTACACAGTAAATCTTCTTTGTAGGTGCTATACTAAACTGCTTGCTTTATACTACAACAGTGGACATTGCTTTAATATACTGCAGTTTTAAGTTAGCTTTGGCTATTTATTATTAGACTTTTAATGGCATCAGATTCAGATATTATTCTGATCAATAACTTGTTTGTGTAATTTCAGATCCTTTCTTTACAAGAAAAATGTCGTATTTTTTGTTTTTTCAAAACTCTGAACTCTTATTAGACCATTGATTATTTTTTCTTTTCTCTCAGCACATTGAATATAAAATTATATTATCTGAGAAAAACAATCTGATCAGACAGTTCCCAGCTCAATGCCACCATCCTCTGAGTTTTATACAATGATGATAATCTGGAATAGTATACTGATTAAAAGGAAAGTCTACTGAGTCAGATTGTCTGAATTTAAAACTTTCCTCCATATTTTACCAACTTGTGATATTATATAGGTTTCAGTTTCCTATTATGTAGGATGGAGATAAGAATTATAACTAAAGGAAAGAGTTTTAAGAATTCAGAACGTAATCCCCGTAAAATGTAAAATGATGAGTACAGTGCCTGGCACTTATTAAGTATTCAATGCATTTCCATAGGATTTCACAGATGTTAATGCATGTTGATATTTTATGCCTCTATTTATGAAACTCTTTAGTCTTTTAATAATCAAACGTAAATCACCCTATAGTTAAAATCACAAATACATTCTCTACTAATATATTGTAGTTAACAAATAAATACAATAAAATTTTGAGCCGTTTCTTTGTAAGAAAATCATTAGAAGATATTATCATTAAAGTATTGTGAAGATGGGGATAAAAGACAATGCAAAATATTTATCTTTAAATGTTTATCAAAGTTCTGTGTGTATTAAGTGGCAGTTAGCCTAATCAAATGACCATTTTAAGACATCAGTAACTTTGCAAAGGCTGACGGACCTTCACTTACAGTTTAGTATAGACATTGACACTGATGATGCTCCCCACACACCAAGAGGTTATGGAAAGGTTGATCATTTATGTAATTGAGGTCTCTAGGGAGAGCACGAAGGCCTCTCAGGAGGATCCTGAATGACTAGAGAGAGGAAGGAAAGAGACCTGCCTAGGTTTTTATTGCACAGACTGGTGAGAGTTTGCTCATGTAGGGAGGACTTATGAGATTTGAATTTCTTGCCTGCATCAAAGGAGGGAACACCAGGGCTTTCTTACCAGCTTGTCCAGAAGCGGGGATCAAGGAGAAAAGTTGATGAGGCTTAAAAGTTATCAGCATTGAAACATCAACAAATGGAGTCAGACTCCTTGTTAACAAACTGTGACATTAAATTTTAGTAGAAAAAGTGGCTGAGTTTAATCAACCAGAGAGTGTCTTACATATGTTATTCAAAAGTACCTTTGACTGATTTTTACTGGATATAGTAATCTTCATTCAACAGTTTTTAAACAATATAATGTGACTTGAAAACTCCTAAAAATGTGAAGCCAAAAACACCTTTTGTTAATTTCCTTGTTATTTTTAAGCCCTTATCACATACCACTTTATATTTTAGTTAATTGTGTTTATTGACTTGAATTACAAAATCTTAAGAAAATAAAAGGTGCACATTGTACTGTTTTGAATTTCTTACATGGCTTTGTTTAATGCCAGTATTTAAAAAGAATTTATAAAATTAATAAATCAATTAATTATTCACTTACATAAGACTCTATCCATGGACTTTTTTTTTGACATAGCATCCTGAAGAAAATGAATTAAAATTTGAAGCATCAAGAATACTTTTGATTAAAATCATGACTTTTATAAGTATAATAATCCTACATTTAATAAAAAAGGCTCTAATGTATTTTCTATGAAAAAAAAGTTTGAAACTACCATGTCATACAACTGAAGCATTCTTAAGAAGTTAAATTATAAAGTGGTGATAAATGTGACATGCTCTGATAATTAGAACTCCTAATTCAAGTAAATATATAGGAAGTGTATTCTTGACTTGGTTTCATTTGCTGCCATATAAATGCTGTTCTGGATCATGTTATAATCGACTATTAAATGAATGTGTGCCTAATAAATTTCTAATATATGAAAAGCATTAAATGAATCTAGAATACAATGCACTGAAAAGTAGTATTGAATGAACGTGAAGGCAAATAAAAAATTCTGAATACTTATATTCATCTCAAGAACATAATCACCTAAAATATATTTTTCTTATAATTTTCTACATACGAATCTCTTATTTGCTAATATTAAAAAAGATTATGTATTAGACTTAAAATCATCAAAAATAAAAAATGAGGTATTTATTAACAGCATTTATAACATTTTAAAAAGTTGTTGCTAATGTTACATAATAGGAGTTACCAACTTAAACGCTCAATACCTACAAGGAGCAGGCAGATAATATAAATTTAATGAAACAGTGTGTAAATATCCATAAGAGAGATTTCTGATGACCAAGGAACTAAGATACATCCTTCCTTCTAGCAAAATTCCAAAGTGCCCAATACAGCCAGAGCAAAAAGCACAATTGATTACCAAGGAATATTTTTAGTTTAAAGTACAACAAAGCTATAATATTAGAAAAAAATAAACAATAGCATCATTTGGGAGATGTGTAGTCCGAATTATCTTATACTCAGGAGGAGGTAGAGCAAGGAAAAGGAACAGAATGTACTTGATATGGGATATGGGGCTCGGGACTCTAGCTCTTCAGGGGAGATCAAGGCCATCCCCAGTTGCTGGTAAAACAAAACACCAGAATGAGGGCTCAGCTCAGGTAGAGTGAGGAACTGGTCTGTCCAGACTACAGCAGTTCAGCAAACTGTAGGAGAGATTTCCTCAAGAATCTAAAATCCATTCCCTACTTGTTTGTGTCTGAAGCTGAAATTTAGACAATTGCCATAGAGTTTGGGGCAGAATTAGTAATAAGGAAACATAGAAGACCAAGTCAAAAATGTCATAGAATAGCATACATCATAACATATATATTTTTGATTACACTAAAATTAAATATAATAAAAATATAAGCCTCTTATTTGTGAAATATGGTTGTAATATAATGTCATTGAAAAATTATTACTCTGAAGAGTTTTGTACTTATCTGTTCAGAAATAATAAGAATATTAAAACATCTAAAATAAAACTGTCACAGACATGAAGTGGCAAGTTATAAAATCACCTTAGTGGAACATAAATATAATGAATAAATGCTTAAATTAACTTCACTGGTATATTATTTAAGAAAATCTAGAGAGATTAATTTATAGGTAAAATATCTTGATTTTTAAGTGTGGTCAATAGTATGGTAACTTGTTACAGTTTTTAACACAATGTGAGCTAACAATATACTTTTAAAACAAACAAAACAAAACAAAACAAAAAGCTGACTACAAGTCAGATGAGGTTCAATTTTTCTTTTTTTTTTTTTTTTTTTTTGAGATGGAGTTTTGCTCTTACTACCCAAGCTGGAGTGTAATGGTGTGATCTTGGCTCACTGCAACCTCCGCCTCCGGGGTTCAAGTGATTCTCCTGCCTCATCCTCCCGAGTAGCTGGGATTACAGGTGTGTGACACCAAGTCCAGCTATTTTATTTTTTTATTTTTTTTAAATTTTTAGTGGAAATAAGGTTTTACCATCTTAGCCAGGCTGGTCTTAAACTCCTGGTCTCAGGTGATCTGCCTGCTTCTGCCTCCCAAAGTTCTGGAATTACAGGCATGAGTCAATGCATCTGGATGCTATTTTCACCATACAGATTGAAGTAGCTGGTATTTCTCCTGCATTACAAACAATTATTTAAATGTATTTATTCTTAAAAAAAAAAAAAGTCCCAATATTTTTATTGAAATTTTGGAAGAAATTAAGCGTATTTAAGTAAGACAACATTTTCTTAGAGCTTAACTGTTCAGCTTGCCAGAAACCGTATCACATGACCCAAGTACAAGACAATAGTGGGCTAAGAGCTGCCCAGTGACTAGGCTGTCGTAAAGTTAATTACGACTGCAGAAGAGAAGGATATACATATTTTATTCCTTCTCTGTGTGCGCTTGTGTTTGATTCTGACATTTAGAATTGATGGTCTGAAATGCAGTAAAATTCCGTTACCATTATCTTTTAGAAACCAAGATTATTAAATACAACTTTAGTTGTGTCAGGTTTTTATTTTTTAACTTGAAAAATTATTCGAGTTTTTCAGAACTTTTTAAAAGGTTCTTTCAAATAATGATTTAATTGTGATCAAGCAGAATTTAGCAAACTACGTTTCAATTTAACAATCTAGAGTATATTCAATATTGTGTTGAAGGCAGGTACATTGTTTGAGTATAATTTTCCCTTTTTTCACGTATGTTTATGTGTGTATGTATGTATGTTTGAGACAGGGTCTTGCTCTGTTGCTTAGGCTGGAGTGCAGTGGTGTGATTATAGCCCGCTGCAGCCTTGAACTCCTGGGCTCAAGTGGTCCTCCTGACTCAGCCTTCAAATTAACTAGGACTACAGGCACGCACAACCCCACCTAGCTAATTTTTTTTTTAATATGTAAAATAGGTTTTCCCCTGTGTTGCCCAGGCTGGTCTCAAACTCCTGACCTCAGCAATTCTGCCACCTCAGTCTCCCAAAGTTCTGTGATTACAGGCATGAGCCACCATGACCAGACACATTTGATTTTTTCATCTCCCATGTATTTATAACATTCCACAAAATTTTTAAAATGCTCATATATAAATACTGAGCATTTTATTCAACATTGAGCAAGTATTTGCTGCATGCCAACAAGGTATGAAACAACAGTCTAGGCACATGAGATACTTTAATGAATAAAATCCATAAAAATTATTGTCCAGAGAGATCAAACATTTTAGTAGCAGTAGACACACAAAAAATTAAAGGATAAACAAATTCTACATCAAGTTGATTGGCAGTATGTGCTGTGGCAAACAATTATTTTTAAAAATAGAGAAAGGAGAAATGGGTGTGGAGGATTGTGATTTTAATTAGACTGACCAATGTAGTTCTCACTAAGAAAGTCACATTAAAAAGTGGTCTTGAACGTAGTTATGAAGTTAACTTTGTGGATACCCAAGGAAAGATTATTCCAGAGAAAGTCAATTGAATGGAAAAAAAAAAAAAAATGCTAGCCAGTTTTGAGGAAAAACAAGGAGACCAGAATAATCGAATTAAAATGAATGAAAGAAATGAGAATAATTTATCAGAGAAATAATGGGAATCTGATCTGACCGGTCCTTAGAGGCCACTGTGAGGACTGTCTCTCACTGCACGTGAACAATTGGTAAGTTCTGAAAAGAGAAGTGAGATGTCCAAACTTATCTAGTTAAAAAAAAAAAAATATCTGCTCTGTATTGGGTTGAAAATAGATGGCAGGAGCAGAAGCTAGTGAGAAGAAACACTTAGAAGAACACTGCAATAATCCAAGTATGGTTATTAGACCAGCATTGTAGCAGGAGATATGATGAAAGATCATTGTATATCACTTAAATTTTGAAGGTATCATTCATAGGATTTTCTACAGTATTAGATATGGAAGATAACAGATTGAAATGAATGAAGATTGACTGCTTGGTTTATGGCATGGACAATTAGAAGGATAGAGCTGACATTAACTGAGATGGGGCAAGCTGAGAAAAGATAGGAGTGAAAATTAGTAATTAAAATTTGGACATGTTACTTTTGATATGTTTATTCAAGTAGAAATTTAGAATAGTTTGGATTATTACATAGAGGTGAAAGTGGGAGGTATAAAATCAGAAAATTTCAATCTATAGCTTAGATACAGATATAGATATAGACAGGTATAGTAACATGGAAAATTGGTAAGAATACCAGGGACTTGAATTTAACCAGAAAAGAAAAAAGCCTGGACAACTCTAAAATAGAGAGCTAGAAAAGAAGAGAAAGAACCAGTAAAGAAGATTGGGTAAAGTTAAAGTACCACCAACAGAATAAAGAATTCCGGAGGCTAATTATGATACTTTGCCAAAGTGACAGGAATGATCAATATCCACCACTACTAAGGTAAGATGTTATTTCTTTTTTGTTCCTGTTTGTTTGCTTGCTTTTATTGTTAATACTATTTTATTTTCTTTGCTAAGTTTGGTATTTAAGTCATTGAAATCGATTCAATGTGCTTGAGAGCAAAATTGAATGAAATAATATCCAGACTGTGTATTAACATGCAAATAGTGTAGATAGGTTATTCATACTGAAAGAAATTCAGATATAAATATAGACATATTCTGAAAATTATTGAACTTTCTAAATAAAACAATGAAATTAAGTTTATATTTGGGATAATGGTTACTCAATTGATTTTAATTTAATTCTATTTTAGTTTGAAATAATCGGAGCTAATTAATTTAGTTTGGCAAGTACACATTAAGAATAAATTATCTTCAACATTTAACAACTCTATAGTTCATGAGAATAAAGTAATAGAATCAAATCTTACTGAGGATATTATGTGCATCTAGTAAAATAAATTCCCAAACCAATAGGGTGAATGTTGTGATGTGGGTTTTCCTGAAGAATTTCAATGATTCATTTAGTTTGCTAGTAAGGAAATAATAAAATCTGGTCCATCTGGCTCCTGAATGCATTTTACCTACTATGGACATTTCATAGATTATTGGAAAAGGATAGGAAGTATTAGTGTTACACAGATCTGTTAATTTCCTTGATTCAATCAGATCCTCTGATTCATAGCATTTAAGTCAGGTATATAAAAACAATCGCATACCAGTTAATATTAATTCTTCTAGCTCTGTGCTTCTTACAAAGACTACCATAGGTCAGTCATTTCACAGATCAAGGAAAGGGAGAACTTTGAAACTAACTTCATTAGTTCTCAAAAAGAGACAGCCAAATAATATTTTGCAAGTTAAAATATTTAATGTTTTATTCTATCTAATGACAATATTACTCTCTCATATCAATCACAGATCTACACCTTGTAGGTAAGTTCGTTTGTTGCAGTGCTCTTAATATTTCAAACATGGTAAGCCCAGGCAAGCTATGTAACTACCAATTTATTCAACTCTCCCGCCACATAATGTCTTCGTTTTTTAAACAACCACTACATGTACAGTCAGTACAGGTCTTCTTAGAATTGATTTACTTATTGTTATTTAACCTTGTAGTGATTATAGAACAAAGTGATTATAAGACGCCTTGCTCAATGTCTAATTTATTTTTTAATGACCTCAAGTCACTCTATATATCCTATTAGGTATTTGTCTATCTATGATGGATGAACTTTGGCAATGAGGAAACTAATTCCTTTCTAAGGTAAAACTAAGATTATCTAATCAAAACTAAAACTAAAAATCTTCCTGTTTTCTGGGTGATTGTGTCCTGAGAAACATATCAAGTAATTCTCAACAGTCCAGTATGTCTTTTTCTTAGCGTTAAATTAAATCTTAATAAATATTTAATGTGTGCTACAGATAAAGTTCTTGAGTTAGTCTTGGTCTACAAAAACTTTACAACATAGTGATATAGCAACAAATAAGTACATGTTTATAATTTGGTATTTGCTCCTTAAAACCTCTTGGTAGCCGACTAGACAAAGTAAAATTTCTCCTATATGAATTCCACCTAGGAATCACCATAAGCATGGCATTTCCTGCCTAAACTATGAATAATTGAAGAGGAATAAAAGGTTAATTCTTGGCACAGAAAATAGATAACATGCAATCTCTCTGTGAAGTTCCCATATCTTGGTTGAAATTTTATACTGTAGGCCATATCAGGGCCAGATTATACACAGCCGTCTTTCAAATATTTGCAGATGATGATTGCTTACGATTCCCATCTCTTCTTCTTTCCCGTGCTTTGAGGTGCCTATATTCTATTTTCCGGACAATCGCAATAATTAGTAAACTATCACATACTTTTAAGTCTCTTTTCTCTACTTTTCCTTAGCTTTTTCAAAACTTTCTCAACTATAATGACTTGGAATTTCCTCAATAAAATAATAAATTTAAAAACAAACTCTCTACTCTTCAATACACATTTTAAACATGTTACGCACACCTGAGCACATATCCCATGAATTGCCTCATCATGAAGAAAAAAAAAATCAGAACTATGATTTCTCATTTTGAAAACTAAACTACTGAGAGAAGATTGATTTAGATTTTTTCTATGTCTACATAATATTACTGACACATACTTCAGTTACTCTCAACTATAATCCACTGGTTGATCCCATAGTAAAGACTTGCAAAAAAAAAAACTTAAAGTTTATTATCCACAACTATATATATATATAATATTTTATAATCCAAATGTGTCTCATACTCTATTGATGGTTAGACATCAGTGGTTCTATAAACATTAGTCAATATTTAAGTGATGAAACGGAAAAATAGCAATTGGTACCAAAGTTATTTTATGGTTTCGCTACATTGTAGGTCCAAATCCATGCAGTAGTTTCTGAACTGCTTATTCCCTGAGTGAACCATGTTTTACATTTAAAGGTGTAAAACATTTTTGTTATAAATGAGATCAGATCTGCCTCTAGGAATTAAATAAAATGAAATGTATTTTATAAATACTAGTTTATTTCATAAAAATACAAAAATATAAATATACATTTATAAAAATATGAATGAATTAACACAAAGACATTCTTCAACTAAATAAATATGGCAGTAATAGTCATTCCTATGTCATTAAGGATATATCTTTTCCGTATTAATTTACAAAGCGGTTGCACAATGTTTAGTTTAATAGTAAAGGTGACTGAAAGTCAGTTAAGAAAACATTTATAAATTATTATACCTAAGAAAAGGCACAAAAAGCCTTTTAAGTATTTTTATTGATTATTGATGTGATATATTTCCTTCCGAGCTTGTTAGGCAAAGAGGGTGAACTGGTTATTACTTTTTAAAAAATCTATATCATTCGTATTCATTCACGAAAACTTACTGATTAAGCAAATCCCTACTAAGACAACACCTACGTATTGTTTGTAATTTCAATTTTTGAAAAATTTCCTCCCAGGAAGAGAATGCAGGCCACTCAATCTAATAACATAGACAGTACTTCCACTAATATTGATCAAGTCAAACAATCCTCTTAGTCTCGGTCACTATCATCACCCCCGTACATATCGGCAAGTTTTTTAAAACGAGGCCCCCAGTCACTGAGGTAATCATAATCTTGGTTACAATCAGCTGTGAGGGATTCTAAAGAACTGAGCGAATCTGCTATGGAATCATTCCCTTCATAGGCATACGTTGCCAGTGAATCATAAGGAGGTGCACTTGGGTCTGCGTCGTTTTCTTTTAATCTTCGATGGATAAAATCTTGTACATCAATATTTTCCCACAGAGGCACAGTCCTCCTTATCTGAAAAATAGTTTCAGGCATTACATCTCGTCTAAGTTTACTGTCTTCTCTTGCCTCTGGATTCCTTAATGTGCCAATGTCAAAAGCTTGGGTATCTTCTTCCCCACCGCCTTCATCGTTATAGGTGACAATGTTGTCCCGGACATCGTCTTTTGAAATTATCAGAGGTTCCTTTTTCCTTTGCCTCTTCAATGCAGCAAACAGCACAACTAAAACTATTAATAAGAAATGGGAAAACAGTGAGATTTCATGAGTCAGGATAAAATAGAGTACACTTCTGAGTGTGAAATTTGTTTGGTACAGGAGATATTAAGATTAATCGAATAAAAATAATTAACTACCCTGTAGAAATACAGAGTTTCTCAAGGCAATGACTGGATGCACTATATTGATAAAGGAGCAGATATTACCATACCATTAATTTACTGTCAAGACATACTCTCCTATGAACTTCTGGCATTGAAAAAGCTTTATTCAAGTACAATTATTATATTTATCCAACTTCAATTGCCTGACACATCAGCAATCTTTCCAAATGTGCACTTGTTTCAAATACAAAAACGCTAAAACTCTACTCATGATATTGATCATTCCTTTCACTTAGGCACAAGTATCATTTCTTAATGATTCAAGGGATATATGCAAAACATTACTCATATGTAGATATATATATATATTTGTATATGCATTATATTCCTATATTATGCATGTACATATGCACACACATGAATATGTCATGAATATGTATGTGTCACTGATATGATCACTTCCCATATCTCATAGGTTTAACTAAATTCCTTTACTGGTCTAATTTTGTAGTGGGCTTAGAAAGCTGAACTACAACTCTAAAAGTTACAACATAAAACTCAAACTCATCTTTAACTGATCTTACAAAACACCTCAGACTGTATCTTGTTAATGAGGACTTCCTTGACATACAAGGCCTGATTTAAACATTTGGAATGAAATGTTAATTGTATTCCCTCTACTTTCTGTATTATTTTTATTGTTTACATGCCTATGTTACAAAGTTAACTGTGAACTTCTCATATAATATATTTTCTTATTTCTCATTATAATACTGGAATTCAAATTATGTGTACTGGAAGATGAATCTTTTTCTAATAAATGCATGTTGCAATTAATCACGTTCATTTAAAAAGAAGCAAACATGATTTTCAAAATACAAATTTTCCATTAAAAATTGGACAAGCCCGTAATGTTACATATAAGAAATGTGAGAATAAAATCAAGACAATATCGTCAAAACACACTTCAGCATTACCAGGGAAAAATACAAACTAGGTTTCCTTTACTTTAGGGTACTTAACTGTGTGTCAGTATTATTTATGCTTCACAGAAAATAAGAAAATGTTGGCTATTATTCCTTTTCTCGATTTTTACATGAAGATTAAACAAAGCATACTCACTGTCATTGAGACTACACTTCAACATGGCCCGTGAGGCCCCTATGACTACACTAAAGCCTTGTCCAATGTTATTTTCATATTGACCAGCAAACTTTTCTCAGCTCTTCCTAACTGAAAGTAAGATTTTACAAAAGATAATTAAAGATTATCTTTAATGTCATAAAAGTAAGATTTTATGAAAGATAAGAAAGATAAAGAAGTATCAGTAGTTAGACTTCACAGAATGGGCTTTGGGAGCTGAGCTATATTCAGGATCATCTTAGAGATATTAAAAAAAGAAGACTGCAGTAAAAATGAGACCTCTGTACTCTCCTTTTAAAATATGGACATACGATTAATTAAGTCCAACATAGGTCTGACATCTATCAAATTTCAGCCACACACTAGAAAAAGAGATTTCTTTCTAAATTTAAGGTTAAATAAATTTATAAGTTATCTACTTTTTAATCAATAAAATAACAATTGTGTAGTCTATTATTAAGCATTAAGGGTTTCTTAGCTAATAAAAACTTACTAATTCCCACAAATGGTCCGTAGAATCTGTTCTGAGCTTCCTTTTCTACCATATTAATATTATCAGATCATTTCTTAGATTGAGGTTATTAATCTGGAACATGTGAACAGAATTCAGAAAGAATAGGATAAGAAATGAAAAAAAACAGTGCCTCATTATTTCCATCTATCTGTAACTCAAATTTAGCATTTCTTTTCAATAGGATTATTGGCATAAACTATGGTGATAGTGGCAGTGTGCGTGACAGATATTTTATATTGCATCACAGTTTGACAGGTAAATCAAACCACAGTTAGACTTGCTCCAGAACATGGCATGCATGATTTGATAAGCAAGCACAGTTTTCTTCGTGTTTTTTATTTCATTTGTGTAAGTGTATTTCCTTTTTGTCTTACATGTTTTACTCTAATAAATTTAAATCGTCATTCTGGCTAGGTCCATTCGCTTCATCAGGCTGCCAAAAGTGTCCCTACAACCAAAAAGTTTAAAATCCCAGCCCTAGATTTTAATCTTCCATCTTGCCTTATAAGATAGATATAAACTAAGAGTTAGATTTCTTCAAAATGTATGAAAGTACATTTAAAATATTATTGTCAGTGCTATGTCACTATCTTATAAAAAGCAAACTCTCTTACCTATAGAAATGCAGTAACTATGTCCAGCCATTACCATAAAGACTCACAATAACAATAAAGTGCTTTAGTAACTTTGAAAATATAAATTTCTGAATTAGAAGCAATTTTAACTACAATAATAGAAAATTACTCCACATTTAGGCAATGAACTGGGAAAATGAAAAATAAGAAATTAGTGCTTTCCATATTGCTCAAGGAACAAAGGTGGCTGACTTTGCAGAATATAAGAAGAAACTTTCTAGGATTTCTGCATAGAAAAAAATAGTATCAAATTTAGTTTGAGAATGTTAAAATATCTAAACTTACCTGGGGGGATGCTTTTGGTTCCCTATGTGTGCATGACCAACTTTGTGTGTGCATGTACATTACATTAATACAGAAATTTTTCAAATGATCTAACAATAACGTATTTTCATGTGGTTCTAAATTAGGAAAGTGGAACTTCCTGAGTGAATAAAACAACGTGAAATCAGTAGCACTTAGCTAAAAGGCTAAGCCAAATTTTTATCTCCATAGGGATACAAAAATATTTTACAGAGGAGTTGAACCCTCTAGCAGTAGGTGGGGATTGAAATTGCTGATGGCGGTGGTAGCAGTGTATTTGTTCTAAACCACACTGAGAAAATGTTTTTCTAAATAGTTGGATCATCTTAACTGAGACAAATGTTTTTTCCCCACTTTCATCAATCCCCTACTGAAGTCCTGCAAGGATATCTGGCCAAAGGGATTTCATCCAGATAGCTTGAAAGGATTTGCAGAGAAAAGGAGCCAGCACATATGAGCATTAGAACATAAATTTGGCTAGCTCCCCTGCCCTAAGCATAAGCATTTGGGCTGAATATTTGATAGAAACAATTTTTTTTTTGGAATGTTTTCCAGTGGAACAACTGTTTAATTGAATTAAATCGTTGTCCTGTTAGTGCATGTTCAAATAAAACATTCGCTGTTGGAACATGACTTTATTTAGAAAATATTGCAGGGCTAGGTATGATCACAGCGACATAGTGATATTTTTAAAAACAGAACTTTAACTTCTTAATTTGGTATGTCACACCAATGTATAACAAGCTATATAGGGGACAATGTCTAACTGTGACAACTTTAATGCATTTGCATGTCAGACATCTGATATAGACAACTCAGACTATGTTAGTAACTGTTATGTGTAAGGGCAACGTAGTCTTTGATTTGGTAATAATAGAAAGGAGAAGTCTATAGTAATCTGTGTTTGAATGCTAGCTAAAGCCTTTTCTAAATGAGTGACTTTGAGTAAATTATGTAGCCTTTCTCTAGAAGAAAAGTATTTACCTTATACAGTTGATGCAAAGATGAAATCAATGAAATCAAATGCCCTTAGAACAGGGAACATAGTCAAAGATATAATACCAAATGATATAAAATATATTTTTTAAATACACAAGTGTATAGCATTTGTTAGATCTTTACTTTTGGTCTCTGGAAAGCTGGGACTATCCCCCCACACAAAAACTCTTACTTTTTCCTAATTGAAAGAATCATTTTAATAAAAAGTGAAAATGTTCTATCTTTATCTGTAGAGAAAAGTGTTATTCAGTGCACCATCCTCGGACCGTAAGGGAGAGATTTTTGTGAATTAAAGGATCATTCAGAGGGACAGAGCTTACTAAGCAGTATGAGGACACAGAGGAGAATCGCAACGAGAGCTCCCGTGCTCAGGCCGGCTGAAAGGATCAAGGCTTCTGCCGTGCAGGATTGCATGTTTCCTTGATTATCGCAGGCACACACCCGAATAGTGAGTGTGCCAGTGCTGCTTTGAATCGGATAATCGTTGTCAAAGATTAAAATTGGCAATAAGTAGGTGCTCATTTTGTTGCGACTGTAGCCATCTTTTCGAGTCATGATTCCTGCTGTGTTATCTGGTGGAGAAAAACATGTAAAAAACCAAAAACTTTCATATGTATTTTTAACTATGTATCTTAAAGTTTCATGATTTTTAGTTTTAGAAATTTTCTTATACCTTTATTATCTACAATGGTGAAATTCGGATTGAGAGTAAATTCTGGTACTGGTTCAAAATAGAATTTGTGACCTCGGGGAGGGTCATCCTTATCCATGACACTGACAGTCTGAATCAACTGAAAGCAATATAAATAAATTAATTAATTAAGCCTAAGGCAATTTTCTTGTTATTAGACGATATCGTAAATCCATGTATTTGTGCTTTAAATACATCACAAAAACAAAGCAACAAAACAAAATAAATATCATTTAAAGAAAATTATGCCAATGCCTTATTTTTTATGGTTTTGTCTTAGGTAACTTATTTAGTTAAGAGTGAAAGACATCCATTAAGCCCAATGGTTTGCAAGGCATCTTAATGCATTATTGTCTTATACCTGGCCAGCTTAAAGAAAAATTCAATCGCTCCAATACCTATCCTCTTTTGATATTGTTGAAAGGCACAGCCCATTTTATTATTAATTGATGAGCAATCCGTTACATACACTAGAAAATAATTCTTCAAAGGATGAATACATAGAAGATGCATTTTTAAAAACACCAATGCTTAGTGCAATCACTCCTATATATTAACATTATTAATATATTTTTAAAATAATAAATCAATTTGTCATGTACTATCAGAAAGAAAATGATTTTGAAGCTATGGACACCATTACTACAACTTAACTATTTTATTTAAATTGCTTGCTTTTCCTTTAATAGTATTTGCAAAGACAGATATACAAAGAAATACTTTTAAGATTTTGTACAATCAATGTTGAAGTTTCAAAATTAGAACACCTCTTGGCTGAGCTAGTGTAAATAAATAAGAAGTGTGCCCTAATGGAATATGGAACAGCCAACTATGGGCTGGGCAAAAAAAATTTCACTGAGCATTTTATTGTGGAAAAAGCACTGAGCTACACATTTGGGTGCCTCCCATCTGTGTGATTTGAAATCACAGTCTTTTAATTACTCTGATTTTAACATTCTGTTCTACAAAAACAAACAGGTCTCATAGTCTAACATTATGTGGTGAACAGTTATTGAAATTCACAATAGTTTAAACTTTCCATTATTTCACTGTATACCTTTTAAAACCATACTAACCTACATACTCACTAGTCAGTGCTATTTTCACTTTAATTTTATATTAATGATAATTATATCATTTTGACAGGGTGATATGTAACTGTATTTTTAATAAAGTGCTTTTGAAAGTGTACAATTATTAACAAAAAATTAATAAACTTTTCTCCTTAGAAAATTGGAACATAAGAAAATAATTATATAAGATCTAATATTTTGCTCAACCTTCTGTTCCTAAATAGCAATAACAAATCTGACTTTTAGTAATAATTTAAATCATAAAAAGTTGGTCTTTTAATTATATGACATTTGAGGTCTTGAAATTATTGGATGGGCTTTGTATAAGTATATTTTATGAGGATATACATATATTTAATATCTATTTTATTTCTAACTTGGTTAAATTCAATGAGTATTATGTATTAAACAATTATAATTAGTTAAAATCAATTATACTTAATTTTTATAAAATATTAGCATATAATATATCAATAACACACATGAATCAGTAAAAGATAAGCATACTAATAGATATGTGAGTAAAGAATACTTATAGGTGATTGTAGGTTGACTTGTGCTCCCCCGAAAGATCTGTTCAAGTCCTAAATCCCAGTACCTGTGAATGTGACTTATTTGGAAATAGGCTCTTTGCAGATAAAATCAAGTTAAAATAAGATCATTCTAAATTAGGGAGGACTCTAATCCAGTGACTGGAGTCCTCATAAGAAGAAGCAAATTTGGACACAGAAACAGATACAGGAAGAATGCCATGAAATGATGGAGAGAGATATTGGAGTAATTGGCATCCACAAGCCAAAAGATGTCAAGGATGGCTGGCAAGCTCATGAAGCTAGAAAGTGCCAAGGGAGGATAGTCTCCTAGAGCTTTTAGAGAGAGCACAGCCCTGTTGCATGTTGATTTTATACTTCCAGCCTCCAAAACTGTGAGAAATAAAATTCTGTGTTTTAAGTCATTCTGTTTGTGGTAATTTGTCATGGCAACCCTTGGAACTAATACAGTTGTAAATATTTTTAAGTCCATGTTTTTATGAAAAAAAAGGTTTGGCCTTAATAAGCTTAAAAGAATTCATACTAAAAGTGTTATGAGAAATTTACATATTGGCAGATATTTAAAATCTAGGGTTGCCAAATACGTAGGCAATCATAGGTATTTGGTGGGAATATCACCTAGTTTATGACAGATTTGGAGAAGTATTTGGGAACATTTATTAAGATTTATAGATATAATTTAATTATTCCTACTTTGAGAATTATATCAAAGGAAAGTAGTACCAGGTGGTAAACAAGCAAAATGTACTACAATGCTCATTATAGTATGACTGGGGTACTGCTAGGGTAACATTTTGTGAAACCAAATTTCCATTAAGAAGAAAGTAATTGAATAAGTAATATGTAACTATGCTATGAAAATTAAGCATCAAATTCAAAAAATCATTTACTAAACTGAGATGCCCATTGTATGTTGCAAAATAAAGAGGAAAAGCAAATTTTCATCCAGATAGCTATGTAACAATTTCATGTTATTACAAATAAAAATCTCATTTGTATTTTTTGTATATGAAGGTAGAATGTGTTATGTATCTCTGTCTTAGTCAGCTGGGATGCCATAACAATCCCATACACTTAATGGCTTAAACAACAGAAATGCATTTTCTCACAGTTCTGGAGAATGTAAGGTTGAGATCTAGAGGCTAGTGTGGCTGACTTCTGTTGAGGGCTTGCTAATATTAATAGCTACCTTCTCCCTGAGTGCTCTCATGTGGTTTTTGCTTAGTCCATGAATTCAGGGACAGGGAGAAAGGGAGAGCATGAGCTTTCTGTTATCTCTTCTTTGTATGCTAATCCCATCAGGTCAGGATCTATCCCCTTATAACCTCACTTCATCTTAATTACTTCATTGAAACACCATCTCCAAATACAATGACACTAGGGTTGCATTTTCAAGATTTGAATTTGGGGGAGGGCCACAAACATTCAGTTCATAATATTCTCTATTAGAATAGAAGAAAAACTGTATTTTAGATTATTTTCTACCTTAAGGAGACATGATGGAATTATAGATGATTCTTAACATCTACCTATTTTATCTTCAAAGTAGTTAACGAAATGGTTAAGTTAATTTTGGTAAAATGTATGCAGTTACTGTTATAGAAAAATACTATATTTTTGTCAAAAATGAGCATATTCTGCATTTACTTAGAATTACTTTATATACATTTGAAAGAATTACTTTGTAAGAAGACTTCGTAATTCTTTTACATACAAATCTACTTCATTTCAATGATATGAAACTTTAAAGTTTAAAACTTACAAAATATCACTCATATCAAAATCTCCTAAAACTATTAAAAGTGGCAAAATGTAATCAAGAAAACAATGATTATGATTACCTTTATGGTAACATGAAACAATTTCAGTTTCATACTTCATGTGTTATTTAACGATATATTTTCATTCTATTAGTGAAGATAACTCAGCATAAGCATGATTATGAATGTACGTAACAGCTTCAACATATGTGATATTCACTATAAACCTAGTATATAAATTAAAACATATGTTATAATATTCCCCACTATATTATTGATTCCATTATAAAAACATTTTTAAATCACCTTTTTAAAAATCACTGTGAGTTCTTTGTTAAGGATAAACAAATGGACAAGAAGTATTGAAATCCTGCAAATAAAGTGATGTAATGTCATTTGACTCTGTAAAGAGAAAATATATTCTTTTAAGTTTTAATGATTTTATTTACCTGCCCAGGTTTTGCATTTTCACAAACAAATGTTTCATAATACATGGCAAATTCCGGAGCATGGTCATTTATATCTAGAATTCTGATGAAGACAGGGATGCGGCTACTTTGTTTTGGGTTACCTGCAACGAGAACGTGTGTAAGATTTCAGTCTCATTTACACAGAAGCAGTGAAACCACTCACCCATTTGTAGCTTAGCAACAGATCCTTTTTGTGGTGCTCACTTTCTCAATTGGGCTGCTGATGAATATCTCAGCTCTCTTACAGGGTCCAAATGAAAAGCACAATGAAATTGAGGAAAACATAATTGAGAATGAGGTATTATTTGTAATAGATAATTTTCTTAGATTATTTTTATGAGGTTAAATTATATTTCTCTCTTATATAAGGGGTAAAAGAAAAGCAAATTTGAAATGAATGAATTATTTGATAATCCTTAAACATAATTTAAAAATGTGTTGACATTCTAAGCCATTTCTCTAAGATCTTGCTAAGGATACAATCACACCACTCAAGAAAATGAGTCTAGCTAGTGCTATTATTTTACCACTTTGATGAAAGACAGTGTGTTCAGGTAGATGTAGCTCTGACTTACTTATTTCTGTGGCTGTAACAGTGATGTTATGCCAAGGAGATGATTCTCGGTCAAGGGCTTTCAAAGTGAAAATAGAGCCATTTTCTGAGTGGATGCCGAAAATACGGTCCATATCAGTATGCCGATCAACAGAGTACCTGGCAGAAGAGACTCATAAATCCAGCATTCTTCTAAGGTTTCTAGTTCTACTCTTTCTTAAAGTTATAGGTAATTTCCACAATGATATGACAAATACATGAAGTGTAAAATGCTAACAACTTTCTTGAATTTTTATTTTATGGAATTGTTATTTGAACAATTTCATATATTTGACTCTTTCCACTTACTATTCCACAGTCATGTGTACTTTAGAACTGTTATTTATACACATGTATCCTGGTGGCAGCTGCTAAAGTGAGTTCTTAAGTATCACTTGGTTCACTTATCCTATCATAGGCTTACTGCAGTGCTTGAGACACATTAAACAGTAATGTTAAACTTGACTGAGCCAATAGTAATGAATACATCGAAAGTATGTTAAAAAATACGTAACTGTGTCCCAAGTCCTCTATAAGCAAATATCGAGAAGGCTATTATAAAATATATTGCTCTTGAATGGCTTTTTATTCAAGGAACATCCAGCTACATCAAGGGCTTCCTCTAATCTATCCTTCCAACTTATTTCAAATCAAAATGAAATGTTGTATCACCACAGAGTTCTGTGACTTTCTCATCAGGGCTGTATGTGGAAGACGTCATTGTAAGCTTTGTAGCACTCTGCAGTTGGCAAAATAATATCTCTTCTCCCTAAGATGTCTATACCTTAATCCCCAGAACCTGTGAAGATGTTGTTTTACACAGCAAAAGTAATTTTGCAGATGTCATTAAGGTTCAAAACACTGAAACAGAGAATTACCCTGATTATCATGGCGTGCCTAGTTTAATCCTATGAGCCCTTAAAAGTGGAATAGGAAGACCAGGCGCAGTGGCTCATGCCTGTAATCCCAAAACTTTGGGAGGTAGAGGTGAGTGGATCATCTGAAGTCAGGAGTTCGAGACCAGTCTGACCAACATGGTGAAACCCCGTCTCTACTAAAAATACAAAAATTACCCGGGAATGGTGGCGGGCACCTGTAGTCCCAGTTACTCGGGGGCCTGAGGCAAGAGAATCTCTTGAACCCCAGAGGCAGAGGTTGCAGTGAACCGAGATGGCACCACTGCATTTCAGCCTGGGTGACAGAGTGAGACTCCCTCTCAAAAACAAACAAACAAACAAACAAAGTGAAATGGGAAGGCAGAAAATTGGTTTAGAGAGATGAAACAGAAGGAAAAAAGAGAACAGATTTGAAGAATGAGAAATACTTGACCCATTGTTGCTGGCTTTAAAGCTGAAGGAATGGAGCCACAACCCAATAAACAACGAACATAGGTAGCCTCTAGAAACTGCGAGTAGTCCTTAAGCTGACATCCAGCAAGGAAACAGGGGCCTCGCCCATAGAACTGCAAGGACTTGAAATCTGCTCACAACCTAAATGATCCAGAAAGCAATTGCCTGCCTAGAATATACAGAAAGAAATATGGCCCTGTTCACACCACCACCTTGACTTCGCCCAGTAAGACACATACTGAACTTCTGATGTACAGAAATTCAGACCTATCTGTAAGAAAATAATACATTTGTAGTATTTTTTGTAGCAGCAATAGAAATCTAATATATCCTTAAAAGATAAATTTTTGAAAAGGTTAATTTATATGAAAATCCTTCAGTTACATCAGACCATGTTATGCCATACTAGCTATTTTTTTTTTTTTTTTTTTACATCTTTTTGAGATTTCTGTTGCGGTCTTTAATTGAGCCATGTCGGAAAATGAGTGCTTCTCAAACATTAACATTTAAGTGAATCACATACGAATCCTGTTAAAAACAGAGTTTGATTCAGTAGGTCTGGGGTGGGAGCTGGGATTGTATGTTTTAAACAAATTCTTAGATGAATCCTATGCTGTAGCTCCACAGGCTAGGTTTTATATAGCAGTTTTAGACTACGGGATAAAGTGATTAGAATAAGAACAGAAACAGGAAAAGCAATGAAGGACGATTAACAGGCTAATCAGACTCTGGTGTAGTCCTCATTTTTCTAGGTATCTTATTAAATGCATCTTATCTTATTACGAGATCCTTTTTGATCAAGTGTATCGGAAAATTACAGTTCCCACTATAAATCTTAAATATATTCACACTTTGGCACTGGCTTTGGCAAACATAAGTAATAGATATTTAGGTTTTATTTTATTTATTTTTATTTTTATTTTTATTTTTTGTTTGAGACGGAGTCTCGCTCTGTCGCCCAGGCTGGAGTGCAGTGGCCGGATCTCAGCTCACTGCAAGCTCCGCCTCCCAGGTTCACGCCATTCTCCTGCCTCAGCCTCCCGAGTAGCTGGAACTACAGGCGCCCGCCACCTTGCCCGGCTAGTTTTTTGCATTTTTAGTGGAGATGGGGTTTCACCGTGTTAGCCAGGATGGTCTCAATCTCCTGACCTTGTGATCCTCCCGCCTCGACCTCCGAAAGTGCTGGGATTACACGGCGTGAGCCACCACGCCCAGCCGATATTTAGGTTTTAAAACGTTATGAAGTATTGGCAAATTTTAAATTATTGGGTGAACATACATTAACATAAATTGTATGACTTTTTTGTTGGAACTGTTTAATAAAAGACATACTATTTAATCTATTGTTTAAGCATTATGCTGAACTTCAGGGATCTATTAAGTGAACGGGTCTGATCATAATTTTAACAATTTAATATAGTACATGAAGATACTTGCTTAATTTATTTTCTGCCAAATTTTATAAAACGATTATTGCAGAGTCATAAACACTGCTTCAAAAAAAGTATTTGGTCCTTTGGAAAAAAAGTTATCGGGTGTCATCTCAACGATGGAATGGCTATGTAAGTTATATAGTTGGTCTCAGGTTTTACCTCACTCCCTGTACATGGAACCACTTCAGTCATCTCTGTTTTGTCATTCAGCAGTATTCTACAACGCACAACAGAAGTACATGCAAATGACAGTGTTCCCTCAGTTTTTCAATAATCATTATTGTAATCTTTTCATATGGTGTTATGAAAAGAATTTAGGCACTTAAAATACACCCATTTGACATAGGATCACTGCCCAAGAGTAGCCTATATTTCTTGGGTGGGAAGTCCTAAGGGGATAAAGGAGAAATAGAAACCTAGATACAAAAATTTATAACTCACAACAGCATACATACATATATACATATATATACATATATATGTGTGTGTATATATACACACATATATATATTTTTTTCTAGAAGCAAATGTCATACTGCCTTTTAGCCAACAATTCTTTGTCAGATTCTTTTCAGAGATAGATCTGATTTGCAAAATCACAATGTAGTAAAATTGAGCATGCAAGTCATGTTGAAATTTTTCTTTTAAACCTCTATTTCCAGTTGTGCTAACATGAAACAAAATATTATGTTTCCTACCTATAGGTTTCAACCCTCTTACAATTCCTGATGTCGGCTTTACTGATGTTGGGACCAAATCACTATTATAAGGTTTTTGAGAGAAAAGCAAATAAAATCACTGGAACAACAAAAATATTTTATTTTCCTTAGCTACACAATTTCTGCTTATGAATAAAAATAAACCTAAAATGTACACAAAGAAAGTGGAAGCAAAAGAACATAACTACAGCTGTGCATTGAATGAAGCTCAATTCATAATATTCACCTGTTAATATTTCTCTCTATTGTTGGAAAGGTCAATAGTTAACCATTACCTGCTTATATCTGAAGAGATCTGGGATTCCTTCCTACTGTTTGCATTAAAGATCAAAGAAGAAAATAAAATTTCCTTTTGTGCTCATTGCTAGTTGCCCTAGTGTTTAGCCTAGAGATTTTGATGATATTTCTATTACTGAGAAATAGCTAACAATTGCAACATGATAAAAATCAAGCTTTGATACACTTGTATATTTTTTTCAGGATCAAAATAGATGTAGGCTTCTGGCCACCTTACTCTTAGGTACAACCTTGAAAGACACTATTTTTCACATTAAGAATTCATGAAGGAAACTCACAGACGATACAGAAATAGCTCACTTTTAACTTTGACAGTGCCAACTTCCAGGTCTACGTTCAAATTTTTGTTTCCAGTGCAAATGATGTCTCACAATTTGTCAAAGTTCAGAGATAAATTTCTTTTATTTAGCAGCCAAACTTCTATTTTCACCCAGAATGGGACATTCTGATTTACTTATTAATAATAAATACACTGGGTTACCACAAATGACCAGAAAGAGCCTGATAAACCCTTAACACAGAACAAAGCTATCTCTATGTTCCAGCAGATGGCCTACTCTAACAACTATATTTTATTGATTCCCCCTGCATTGAATTTTGAACAATCAGTTTAAAAAGGCCATTGTCGTAATTTTTTGTATGAATACTTTCTGCAGAGACAGGATCCAATCATATAGGGATCAAATAACGTGTGAAAGAGAGCTCAGGGGCTCTCTACCCCTGGAAGCTGAACTCTGCTTTTCATTTTTCTTATTTGCTTTACATTTTTGTGTTCTATCATTAAAAGTCAAGCATGTATCAGATATCTATATTTTTACCTAGCATAAATAATCTAAACTCAATTACAGACACCAGAACGAATGAGTAATATGCAGAAATATGTCAAGAATTCATTCCTTTTACTCTACTAGATTCCATATATTTCTTCCACTGACTAAGTCAATTTAGCTAGAATGTCATTTGGTTCTTACTTTTCAGCTACTGCTTTCCAGAAACATGTTCCTCATAGCTGTGGTCTAGCCAACCTTCATTACACCTCAAAAATGAATGTTGAGTATTAGCTGTACAATGATATTATTTATAATTTCATTTGAAAAATTAGTTCAAATCTTTTTTGCAGAGATCCATGATATTCTTGTTAGATTATTATTATTTTACTTTTTGCAATAAAATCAAACAAATATGAGAGAAGCACTACTATACGAATGCACTTACACATTTATTCCAGTTTATTTTGAAGTCATGGACATTTTATTGAGGCATAATTAAATCCCTCACCAGAAAGTTTGTTTTGTTGCTTTTCCTTTCCACAGCAGTAGAAA